TGACAAATAATTGTAATAATATTTGTAATAATGAGCAATTAAAAAAAAACGAAGAGGGTTAAGGGGAAGAAGGACTCTTGGTGAGAAGAAAAATCTTCAATCCAAGGTTGGCCACGGTAGTAACAGCGTCTGGACGTGTTCTTTTTGGATACACAGTTCTGGTTTAGTCGATCTTATTGCAACAGCTTCAGCTATGTGTAGGAGACATAAGCGAACTGTACGTGATAATGACTTCGGGATTCTGTATATAACCCTGAGAGCTGTGTTGACATCGATACGATGTCCAGTATCGACCAAGTGTAACAGGATCAAGCCTTTTTTTATGCACTTAATTTCCCCCCTTGAACTGATTTGTCAATTTTTTTTACCCCACACTCTACAATTCTATTATGATTAATCACCACCATTGTCTCCCGTTTTACAATATTTCTAATCGATTTCAGCCCAGAGCACGACGTTTGTCACACAAATATGACTATTTATTTTGACACCCCATAACTACTAATCGGTGATTCTACGTTAAAAATGTATCCGCCGCATAACTGGCCATCAATATCGTATTATACTTGTTTTATAATTGTAAGAACCTGAAGAGGAGAAATTTTTGAAAAGAATATTCTTCGTTCAGATTGACTTTAAATGCTTAATATGGGAATATTTCACAGTATCAAATCTTATATACCAAATACCAAGATTTTTGTCTAATGGGTGTGTTGATGCCCGCCTCTTATGTACAATTTGTTTTTTTTATTGTGTTCAGTGTTTTGAGCGCCAATATGAAGTTGAGTCATTGCTTGGGAGGAGTTATTACCATAATATTTTAGATCATGGACTAAAATTGTGAGATGTACTGTACCTTCAGTTTGGAAGTCTTCTACACTCTGCCTCCGCGTAAACAACAAGATAGATTCGTACTTTCAGTACAAATATCAAGGCGGTCCTTCTATACGGGTCAGAAATTTTCACTGCGCACATATCACAAAAAGCCTTTCAACACAGGCTAGTGCAAATTTTTTTATCGACAGCTGACAACTTCGCTGGCTGGCTGGCTACATACTGAAGATCCAATAGCCAACCAGCTGGCCAGAAGGAATTAGCAACTAGAAACTCTGGCTGGCTAGCAACAAACCATCCAAAAGCCGATAGCTCAGGAAAAATATTTGGGAGAAAATGGAGATGGATTGGCCATTCGTTGAGGAGGCCGTTGAATAATATCGCGTACAATGCAAGCATTCGCTTGAACTTAATCTAAATGGAAAGCGACGAGTTAGTCGTCAGTGCGAGGGTGACATGGAGGAGATCGTGTGTGGCGAAGAGGAGGAAGAGTTGAGAGATTATGGTCAGTCGTAGAGCTAGCCAGCTGAAGGGGACGGCAGAATATAGAATAAGAAGAGATATGATGTGTTGTTGAAGCCTTATGTTCCACTGGGAACCCATTTGAATGAAAATAATAATTGATTCTACTTAACATTAGGTAATGAGGGAAAATCGATAAGTGAGATTTTGAAGCTGCATTGCTTTCCTTGACTGTCAGTGTATACTCTGTAGGATTAATATTTATTTTATATAAGTTTTCATAGGGATTAGGGTTAATTGGAATATAGATTTCGTCACAACCCAACATTAGCTAAAGAGATCATTGAAAATCAGGCAGCACAGGACATCTGCCTCATCCTGTGCATCGGTGGCACAGTGGTCAGGACTCTCGCCGACCATACACATGGTCCGGGGTCCGATCCCCTGCCGACGCACATCCGATATTAATGGTCGGGCTGCAAAATTGGGCTACCGATATCGCATGCTGAAAATTCCATACTTGTACCAAAAATACGTTGTGGAATCCAGCGATATTAAAAGAAAAATCATCAATATTCAAACACAAAACCACTTGGGATCGAATCCGCGACCTTCAAGGTACGAGATCAAGCTCGTTGGCTACTCAACCAACCACTTGGGTCGGAATGACCTAAGACGTCCTGACCAGTGGTGTCCACCATTTCAAGATACAGCTGATGCTTATCGATGGTGTTGGTTAAAGATAGAGCTATATTTTGAGTTGTGGAATTCCGGTTCAAGTGGCTGATTGGTCAACGAGCTTGGTAGTCTCATAACCTGAAGGTACCCAGTGAAGTCATTGGTGGGCACTGATGAAGAGGACTGGACTGGGGCGAAACACCTATCCAGCGCTTCCTGGTTCTCAGTAATGTCTCTAGTTGATCTTAGTTAGGGAGGAAGTCTACATTCAGATATAGAATTAGGTTGGAAAAGGGGTTATTAGTGGTCAAACTGAAAATAGTATGGCATCTCAATCCATTCATTCTTTTACTGTTGATTTATTCCATATAAAGAGAGGGTTATATGGACTACCACACTTGTCTTATGTTTGTGGAGATTTAAACCAACTCTCTCCACACTCGTCTCCCCTTCAAAGACTTGCGACTGAAGTTGGTTCGCTCTTCTTGGTTTTAGGGGCTTTGCTCGTTTCTGTTGCTCTCTGGAATCTCGGAACTCGCTGATGTTCACCTGCTTCTCTTTGTTAACCATTGCGATCGTGTCTGCGTAACTCATCTCAACGTGACCACATGTGGTCCTTCCCACTTTGGAAATTGTTTGCCTGACCCTGTCGCACATTCGTCGGTATTTCACCTTACACTTTCATATGCTGCTTTCTCCCGACCTTCCAGCAGCGTCCCAAGTAGCAGCTTCATCGCTGACAGATATTGAACGCCACTCAACTGCTCAGAAGCCTCGAAGTCCTGCCTGAAGATTTATATGTCTCGATGTAAAGCTTCAGGGCATAGGCTTTCCATTTGTCGGTAGGCAGCGGCACCAAATAAAACAACAGAAGACAAGGGCTATTTTGTGAATTGGCAGAAGTTAGGATTCAAGGACCATTGGATCGGGTTCAAGTGGCTTAATGGTCTACGAGCTCGCCTTGTAACCAGAGGGTCCTAGGTTCGAACCCTAGTGAGGTGGGTGCGTACTGATGAAAAGTCCCAAACTAGGATGAAACAGCTGTCCAGTAGTCCCGGGTTTTCCAGTCTGTCTGTCTGTCTGTCTGGATTCAACATAGAACTTGGCACCGAAGTGCAGCAGTTCGAGTTGCCAGGTTCCAATTGGCACACAAGGTAGACAAGAAGATGAGTGAAGAGAATCAATACAGTCTGACAAGTATAAGAGTGAAACAGAATGGTTAATGGTAGAGAGGAATATGAAAGATTACAGAGACTGAATACATCTGCGCTGGCCATTGACAACGATCACTTTGAGCCATGTCACTCACCTATTGTCTCCAGCCATTGATTCCTAGAGTCAGTCCCGAGGGCCCCAACCCGGGAGTCTGCATCTCCCTACCTGACTCAGTTTAACTGTCAAGGATTTCATGGATTGATCAGGCCATGTTTTTGTTTGGCCACCACTGGCTCTTTTCCAACCTGCACCTATATCAGCAAGCAATGCCCGTCGGGGGAGGCGGTGGTTAGGCATGCGCACCACGTGACCTAGCCATCTTAGTCTATGTAACTTGATAGCCTCGTCGATTGATTTTCCCTCTTTGCCCAACACTCTACGCCTAACGTCAACATTACTTACCTTGTGAAACCACCTAACGTGAGAAGGAGATCGTAGACATCTATGATCGAAAGCAGTCAACCTTTTCATGTCTTCAACGCGTATTGGCCATGTTTCAGAGCCATAGAGAAGGACGGAGCGAACTGATGAGCAGTACACACGTCCCTTGGTTGATAGCCGGATGTCACGCCTACGCCAGAGATGGTGTAAGTCAGCGAAAGCAGCTCGAGCTTTTCGGATCCGTGGTGAGATTTCATCGCCAATCAGTCCGTTGGTGCTAATACAACTTCCCAAGTAGGTGAAGTGGTCAACATGTTCTATCACTTCACTCCCTATCACTAAGTTAGGGATTGACGGGGTCCAGTCCAGTGGTTTACTAACTGATATCAGCTCATGGTGAAATCCCCCACGCAACCAAACAAAATCCCTACAAAACCAATACTTAAGACTTAAATGTTTGTGATCATATAATCATAGTTAAATGTCAAGTAGCAAAGCAAATTAACGTCATATGTAGAATAATTCATAGGATGGATAGAACTTGAAAAAAGTTGTGCAATTATACGATTAGTAGACAAATCGAATAATATTGTGTGAAATTTGATAGCATAGAATTTAACGTTGTAAAAAAGAAGAATCGATTTAGTATGACAAATGAAACAGGTGGAACAATACCGGGGTCAGTTCAAAATGAGAATAATAACACTAATGGTAACAAATGACGTAATAAAGGAAGAGTATACAAATTGAATAAACAAAACGAGAGAATAGGTAGAGTCAAAATATGATTAGGGATTATCATACTTTGGCATAGAAGGATTAAGTCCATGAAAGTTGGAGGGGTTGAATGAACTTTTTTCTGTATACAGAGATCTGGCTGTTTGGTTCCGGTAGCCAAAGCTTCAGCAATACAAGTGAGTCGGGTACGTAGTGATTTGTGTAAATTACTTTTCGCCTTATAGATGAGTTTAAAGGCAATGGCTGTAGAGATCATTGGATGATCATTATCGACCAGATGTTCAATGATTGCGCTTCTCTTATTGCTCCAATACCACCTCTTCCTAACCATGCAGGATTGTGTTCTTGCACCCGTTTGGACGAAACTCGAGTCGAACGATTGATAATAAATTCGTTGTTAAAAAGAGTCTCTTCGATGAATCACTTGTTTTGATTTTCTATATGTTACAATGGGAATTTTCCATGTATATAATATTAGAGTTGAGTGTTTTGATAATTCATAAGTAGGGGTATACCTGAAATCTACTATTGGTCCTACGGAGTAACCTGGTTTACATTACTTTAATACTACCCCATATATTCTACTCGCATTATTATTATTATTATTTTTAGGCATTAAATTAAACCATGAGTCATTTAATGTGTATGGTTATTGATTTACCTCTGTTTTTTTTTTGCTTTGAATTTTTCAGAGTGCTATGGATGAAGTGATCGCTGCGACTGCCTACTTGGAATTATTTTTACGTCGTTTAACTGAACCCCTATTGATAAGGCTATTTCTCAAGTTTATTATCATTGAGTCATATGACACCTATCATATACTTACTTCAATTATGAATCGATTGAATGCTAATGCTGTGGTAAGTAAGCGTGTTAATATATATATATTTGTACATCGTATACACCTCCAACTCCCTCTCCTTTCTCTTTTTATCTCTTACTGTGACTGCCTACCCGCCTCCCTCTCTCGGTGTATATATCTTTGCTGATAAGCACCTATATTGAGTGTACCTTTTATATGATAGAATTTGATTTGATCTGTGTGTGTGTCTGTGTGGTACCCGATTCAATCAATGGCAACTAGCCCATGAATTCTAACTTCTACCAATTCGTGATTTCGCGCGACTAGCACCAACCAGTGTCGTTGGTAGGACATCCATCCACACACGTGACATCTAATTGGATCTCACTGGTCAAGGCTTCTCACTAGAACTGACTCCAGGAAACTCCATCCTGTAGCAAGTCAGTCACTAGCGAGCATCAGATTAATTTTCTACGGTTTGGTTTGAAAACCGGAAGGTCTTGGGTTCGAATCCTGGGGGGGGGGTGTACTGCTGATGATTCCCAAACTAGCATGAAACAGCAGCTGTCCAGTACTCCCTGGTTTTCAATGGTTCTCTAACTGATATCAATCGGTGATCAACTCATAAAAAAAATAATAATAATAGTAACAGTAGGACATCTGCATTTCATTTCATTCTTTTCAGTCCTTTCGAGTCGGTCACACGATCACTTCCACCCCTACCCCCTCCACTTTAAGCTGTCATTTCGTCCTCACATTGTGGCGACTGTGGCTACTGATAAGATTTATCAGTAGTACATGTATGTATACAAAGAGATGTTCATCGGCATAAACGAAATCAAATATTTATGAGATACACTTAGTGTCAGAGAAAGTAAGTGATACAGTTTAATTGAATTTTAGATTCTCCCGTCGATTGATTGTACCGAAGTGCCCCTCGGTCTCAGGTGGACATGTCAGCTTCTTGTACAGATGCTTCGACGATGTCTGGGCACTTTATTAGTATTTAATTGGTGAGTGGTGACTAGCAGTGGAATCCAGGATGCGCATTTCGTCCTATTTGGGACTAGTTGTCAGCTGGATGTACCTGCATTTCCCAGTGATTGATGATGTTCCCCCCGAGGCTCGAACCCAGTGGCCATAGTTTCAAACATCCAGATGACGAGTCCCAAGCAGGACTAAATCAGACTTATCCTGGAATCCGCTGCTAGTCACCATTCACCAATTAAATTCTAATTAAATGACCAGACATCGTTGAAGCATCTGCCCAAGAAGCCGAAATGTCATCCTGAAACCGAGCACTTCGTTTGAATCAATCGACAGGAAAATCTAAAATTCAATTAAGTTAACATGATCCGCGTTGTACAAAAGGTGGCTCTCGTGGCCGAAGTGGTCTAGTGGATAACGCTTTGGCGTCCAAAATAGGACTAAATGCGCCTTATCCTTTATTCCACTGCCTAGTCAACATTCACCAATTAAATGATACAGTTTAGTGGAGATACATGCAAGACGTGAAAGGAACACAAGGCCGGAAATGGCACCGCATGGAAGATCTGTGCATCAGCAAATGGTTCATTGAAGATAAAGTGTACATAATTTGGCTATATATTGTAGAGAGAGAGACCAAATTTCAAATACACATTTTCCTTACCAAACCTTTCGTCTTCTACCGGTGGAACATAATCTCCCTCCAGTCAATGTCCTTTTTGCATTCACAAGTTCCACTCGATGGTCGAACTTAGAGTGGGATGTCATTCAATGGTCTTCTCAGTGTATCGTACATATATCCAATCAATCTGTATCACTTTCTGAATATTTGTAAAGCGATAGATTATTGGTTGATATGTTATCAGAGTTTCTCCTATTACTAATCCTTTCCAGTTACATATATATGATCTTCAGTGTGCAGCAAAGACAGCTCTATTGATGGAGGTCTCCTGAAGTTGTCGGTTAGGAGTACTATTTGTGTCGCATTGCAAAATCACTGATTTGACATTAAACGTTGAAAACCCGGATCTTGTTTTCTTTGTTTGTTAATGTCTGTTGGTATTACGTAATAAGCGTAATAAAAATGCCTCAATCATTCTAAATGTATAAAAATGGACAAAAAAGAAAGTAGAAAGACGGTTGGGTGTTTAAATAAATGTGATTCACTGACCTATGCACTTAACTTTCAACTGTTGGGTCACGAGCTCGAGTCCCACTCACCACCTACCTATAATGGCGGTAGTCACATTATATGTCCTCGCATAATTAGCGTGGCTCGTAGTCCCTGGTGTATGAAAGATCTGATCCAGAGTATTGATTTTGAACAAGCTACCTAGCGAATGCAGAGGTCTGGTTTAAGATCCCCAACAATCAATGATTCTTCTATGTATACTTGGTATATTTGAAGTTCTCTTCATGGATCATTGTGCCGGATGTCTAAAGTTGTTGACAAGATGCTTAATGGTAGAACTATTGATATTCGTCTTTTATCCTCTGGTTAGACAGGCTGAAAAGTAGATATTAGATGGTTGGAGGTAATCAGTCACAGGAAGCCTTACTTGACTTAGGTTTCGTGCTAGTTGGCATTCAACAGTTAGTCAGCAAGGCAATATCTGCAACCTTGTAGGTGCTCATATCCTTTCTGAGATTCTAATCCTCACCAAACATAGGACAAGACGTATTGCACCAGTTACTAGCTAGTGTCCAATACAGTCCTGCAGGAGGTCAATCGTGAGACGACCGAATAGTTCAGTTGTAATGTCTGTGTCGACTGCAGCATTCACAGGGTGATGCGGGGTCTAATTTCAGAAGGGATATGAGTTCCTTCATGGTCGAAGATATACCTTACTGACTGTGGAGTGTCAACTAGTACGAAACCTAGGTCGGGTAAGGCTTCCTACCGATCACTTCCAACCATCTAACAACAATAATTCACGGTGCATCATAATGGCAAGCTACTTAGAATAGCAGTAGCCACATTGCAAACCTGAATGACTGATAGAGTTCTGTCTGCACCAAAGCAAAGACTAGACACATTACACTAGTTACCAGCTAGTGTCCAATTAAAACGCTGAAAAACACTCCAAAATACGCTAGTGGATCTTTATTTAGGTACGACCGATGCTACCTTGTTCCACGGGAAGAAGTGACTGATAGATACACTCTGAGATGGCCTGGAGTTGTTTTTTGTCTTTAATGTATAACTAGATTAACTATCTCCTGTAGAATGTAATTCTTAAGGTAGCTGTGTCAAATGACACCTTTAGACACTTACAAAGGTGGGTTTTAAGGATTTCTACTCCAGTGCTCTCATGCTCCTCTCATGCTCTTGAAGAGACTTTTTATTGGAGCACCTGCGACTGCAATTTTGAGTGACGACAGATTTTGTCACGTGATTCTATCAATGCATCTGAGTAGATATCCATTTTTGCTTATAACCGTTTATTCGCGTAGAGAGATTTCCATTTGTACACCGTCTCTTATACCTAACAATAATTAAAACATTTTATAGTACATAATTACCAGTATGTGATTGGTTTTATAAAATGCGATTATACAACAGCTTTTAAAAATGATTCATCGAAAAGATTTCCTTAGCAAGCACGTCTTCTTTTTATGTCAAGATTGGTAACGAACTAATTTTAGTTAAGGAACCATTAAAGGCAGTTGTTTCACTTTTGTTTGCGACTCTTCAACTGCACCCACGTATGACCCCCCTACCAGGAGTCGAACCTAGGACCTCTAAGGTTACAAGGCGATCTTATTAATCGTTCCACCACTGGGATGGAATTCAATGTGTTGAAGTTATTATTTGTTCATCCCTTTGATTGGTTTTTTCATGGAGCCAAATAACCCGGTCTCTGTTGTCATGTCAGCGCTTAAAAACGCACACTTCGACAATGTCTTGAGATGGTTCAAAAGTCTAGTGGATAATGCTTTTTGACGTTTGAATCTATGGATACTGACTAGCTCTGAGTTTCAATGAGGGACGAAGATTAGTGCGCAGGTACATCTAGCTGACGACTCCTAATTAGGATGAAACACGCGTCTTAGATGTCATTGTTCGTCATCACCAACCAAGTTGCAATATTCAACTTGTTGCCGAATTCACTGCTAACTTGGTTGTGTCCGTGGAGTAAATTAATTACGTCTTTGTGACACATATGTGGATTGGCCATATTCTGAGGAAACCATCAAGTGAGCGACATCACTAGACAAGCCAATGCTCGAGTGGAACCCGAAAGGGAAGCGGCGAGTTGGTCGTCAGTACAAGGGTGACTTGGAGGAGGTCATGTGAAGAGGAGATGAAAGTGTGTGGGCAGACTTGGAACGGGATGAAAAAGTTGGCAGAAAACCGAAGGCAATGGAGACGCATAGCTGAAGCCCTATGTTTCTCTAGGAATTAAAGGATATAATAACAATAATAAATAATAATAATAGTAATGAAAATTCGTCTGCAGTCAATTAACCAGCCTATTATTATTATTAGTTGACAATGTGTTAACAGTTTGAATGTCTGTACTTGTAAGTGGACTGTCTGTTACTCCATCGCATATTCATATGTCAAAGTATTTTTACAATTGAATAACAAAAGTATGTTTATTTATGATTAAGCTTGGACTGGGAGGGAAAAGGGGAAAAAGAGATAGACAAAGGGACACGTATCAGCTTTTTCGTTGTTGGCTGAGTCGAAAATATCGAAAGGATTCAGCTGTAAATGTATCCAGTCTGCTGTGTTCCTCTGTATTCGTGATGAGAGAATGCCCAGAAAAATGTTGTAATGAGTAGGGTGGAGAAAGAAAAAAAATAGAAAAGAAAAAATCATTAAATCAATTGACTCAATTGGGAAATTTAGATTATCTGCATAAAGTTCTAGATTAATTGTGTGTGTAGCTAAAGTTGTTGGTTTTTTCAAGCTGAGAAGTTTCATTAGCAGTGAGGCTGAATGAATTTGCTAGTTTCACTGTCAACCTCCCTTTCTTTTCCTGGGATTACTATCGACTAATAAAACTATATGTCGCTTAGAAAAGTGACAGTTAGGAGTCATCGAACCTGGACTGAGTGCGCGGA